CATTCCACGAACCTATCGAACACACTTTTCTATAATGCAATTTTTTAAAACGAATTTTATATCCCTCGGTGTGAACTGTCGCGGTGAATTCGTCGTGAAACACACGCGCGCGCGACGTTTGATTTTTTAAAACAGACTTTTGATACCGATGCTTTAATTCGTAACGATCGATACGAATCGTCCCGTCAGTGGATGCAGTCGCAACGATTATAAAGAAAACGAAAAATAAAGAAATACAAAAAAAAGAAAAAAAAGAAAAATGGGAGAGAAATACACGTTCGATACGCTGTGAAATCAGGTGTGTTCATTAGCATGAGCAGCATTTCTCTAGAAGGCGAAGTCCTCGTTGTTTCCCTTTCGTTCGCAACAGAAAACAACGTTTGCATGTGTTTTTTCGCTTTAACGACATTTTAACGAGATTACAAGGGACACAGTCCGTTCTTTTTCCTCCCTATCTCGACGTTCATCGTCCCGACCTCTATATTCGATCGATAATCCTGCTTTTTTTTCGTTCGACAAACGACAGACACACACACAGAGATACTTTAGACAAGCTGGATGATTTAATGACTTCGCACCTTGCGTCTGCTCGCGGAAAACTAGTCGAACGGGGTAAAGGGGTGACGAATAAGAAAGAAAAAGTGTCAGACGAGGAACAGTAATTCGACGCGGAATATTCATCGCGCTTGGAATCGTTAAATTGACGTGAAAACTAACATGACGAAGATCAGATTCGCGTAATCAGACGCAAGTTGAACGTCGAATGAATTATCGATCAGAAATTGTCCTCGCGGTTACGTCGTGTTCTATATCTGTGTGTGTGTGTAAAACCTGTCTCGTTTGACCGTGGAAAGATAAAGAAGAAAATGAAACGACAATGGAAGGACTGTAGTAGGGGGGTGTGTGTATAATAACACGAAAGATGAGACTAACCGCGATCCCGGAACAATATACTTTCTCGACTAGTGAGTTTCGTGTGAGTTTGTTATATCATTCCCGTCGACAATAAGTGTTCTTTGTACTTTTGTACGGATATAATCTCTTTGCTTAGCTCAGTCATCGTTGAAAAGACGCGCGCGCGAAACAAACGACAGAGAGGATTATGGAAAAGTTCTAATTATTACACTCACACGCGTACATATAAATATATATATATATATATATTATACAAACACACAGAGAGGAGAGAAGGAACAAAACGAAGTTAACGAACGTAGGTGTCCACGGCGTCGTACAGATGAATTATTGAGAGAGAAAAAGGGGGAAAAAATGGAAGGGACGATAGAGAAAAGGAAGAAAGATGAGGAAGGGTGAGAAGAAGCGAGAGAGAATCGAACCCTGTATCTGTCACTCGTTGACGAAACATTTCCGAATTCTGCACATACACTCCTTCACTTTTTCCATATTGCGATCGTGTTTTCACTTACAAAGAGGGATCGTCTTGTCCAACGAGTTCGTTCTCGTTTTTCGTCGTTTTCAAGGAGAATTATAAACGCCAGGCTGATAAAGGGTGGAGAGTA